CTGGCATTTTCTATCTCATTATTAAACCACCAATTTACAACTGCAACGTCCACAAAAATGATAATTTTATGATATTCTTTGATTTAGGTAGTGAAAATAGATACCACTGGCAGTGTAGTATAAAGATTGCCGCATACAGTTTTTGGAGGCTACACAATATTTTTTAAAGTTAATTGATTATGTCCTTTAGGGTGACTCCAAAAGAGGAAAAGAAATGATTCATATTAAGTTGCATAGTTGAAAATTGCTAACAGAGTAAATCTTAAAAAGTTCTCATCACAAGAAAAAAATTATAACTATGTGTAGTGATAGATATTAACTAGACTTAGTGTGGTGATCATTTTGCAATATATACAAATATCAAATCATTATGTTGTACACCTGAAACTAACATAATGTTATAAGTCAATTACATCTCAACAACAAGAAAAGTTTTTAAATAAAAAATGGGTAATTCACTTACAAGTACATTTTGGAAAAGGCAAAAGTTATTGAAAAAGAAAAAAGTGGTTGCTAGGGGCTGAGAGTAGAGGGCAGAGTTAGTACAAAGGGGCAGCAGAAAGGAATTTGGGGGACACAGAATGGTTCCCCATCTTGCTTTTGGTGGTGATTACATGACTATATACGTTTGTCAAAACTCGTAGAAGTGTATATCAGAAACAATACATTTTACTGTATGTAGTTTATTTTTAAAACTTAAAGATTTCCAATTAAAAAACAGTTGATATTTTCGGGCAGTAACCAACTGTTTGATCTTACCTGAAAACCAACATCTTTAAATGTGTAGCTATATAATATAGAACATGTGTTTTAAAATAGCTTTCTCATGATGTCACTTTTTAAAATTGACATGTCTAGAAATGTAAAGGAAAGAAAATAGACTTGACCTCAAAGAGCCCATGTGTTAAATCATTTCTTTCCCTTCAAACCTGGAAATATCAATTTAAGTGACAGATGTAGAGAAAAATCTCTTTCACTTGTGAAACTGTCAAACCCTCCAGCACCAAGCCCACCCAGTATCCAGCCAGGGGCCTGGAAGGTCTCCCCTTCATCCAGGCCTCCCTGATTTTTTGAGCTCCTGCCTCCACGGAGGATGTGTTTGTCTAGAAGGGCTCTCAGAAACTCAGTCTGGTGTTGAGCTGACACAGATCCAGGTTCCTCCCCACCTGGGGATTGGGTCAATGGGGCTGAGGCTGTGGTTGCTAGCTGTAGGGCCCATCCGGTTGCTTCTAATAAGCCCTTACCTGGGGCAGGGGGGGGAGTCTGATTTGATTGTTTTCCTTTAGAACATGTGGTACTTTTTGTCCTCAAGTTGGTCTTGGTCATCAACAGGAAAACTCCTACTCTGTCCTAGGAAAGCCTCACAGAGCAATAGGACCACAGGAAGAGAGCCACTCAACATCCTGTAACGCATGTGGCCAATTCAGTGTTAGCCTTTGGCAAGGAATTGGGAGCGGGGAGGAAGGACAGTACAAGGAGGATTCGGGGTGCTGTAGAGGGTGCTTGGCATGGCTGACAGGGAGGCCTCTGGAGTGAGAGTGCTCCCTGAGGAGAAGATCTTGCGGTTCCTTTCACACTGGCACAAGGTGCTCCAAGGGTATTTTTCGATACATGAATTATGTGTTGGATAGAGAGGAGAACCTGAAGGTTATAATGAGCAGGCTTATTTGAGGAATGGGAGGCGAGAGTAAAAGGGTAGCACATATGGACTGAGAAGGGAATGTCAGAATCCCAGAACTTGGGAGTGAAGCAATCCTATAATTATTTCAGGTTGCCACAGAGGATGGAGCTGGAGCTTGCAGAGTTAAAGGAGCCACACTAGGAGATGATGGGCTTGACTGGCTCGTCACACCATTTGTTCATTTATTCATTCAACAAACTCTTGATGAGTACTACATGCCACATACTAGGCCTTGGAGTGATGGCAGGCAATGAACAAATATTTTCTGGTAAATGCAGGGATGGTAGCTGGAGAGACTTAATTAAACAAGCAAGAACGGCACTATAGTGATTTTGGAGTTGAGACTGTCTGGATCTTGAATCCCAGATCCAGACACTTAATAACAATGTGACTTATAAGTTACTTATCCCATTTGTGCCTCAGTTTCCTCATCTGTCAAATAAAAATACTAATAGGGTCTTCTTCCTAGGGTTGTTGTGATTAATGCAGTAACTAGTGTAAAGTTTAGAACAGTGCCTAAGACACAGTAAGAACTCCATAATTATTAGCTATTAAAAATATAAATGGATACATACTTTAATGTTTTCCTAGGGTTGTTGTGATTAATGCAGTAACTAGTGTAAAGTTTTAGAACAGTGCCTAAAACACAGTAAGTACTCCATAATTATTAGCAATTAAAAATATAAATGGATACATACTTTAATGTCAGGTAGTAAAAAGTGCTCTACAGGAAAATAATTCAGATAGGGGCTAGCGTGCGGTCGTGGGTTATCTTAGATTAGGTGTCGAGGGGAGGTCTCTTTGAGGAGGTGATATGTGAACAGGGACCTGAGTGGTGTCAGAGAACAAGCCACGCAAAGGTCCGTGGGCAAGAGTAGTTTAGGTGGCAGGAAGGGAGACCTTCAGTGCCTGGGAAAGGAGGTGGAGGAAACGGTGCTGAAGACAACTGTGAACCAGTCCCTACTCCACTGCGCTCCTCCCATTTGTACCCGTGGAAGACAGGCCACCTGTGGGGCTCTGACCACCCTTGGCAGGTGCCCTGTTGGGTGTGCAGGTAGGTATCTCTGTGGCAAACTGAAAATGTTAGAGATGGAGAAATGTGTGCTTAATGGCATGTGATATTTGTGTCTATATAAAATGCTACTATTCAGTTAGAAAATATTCACAGCTCCACAGTCCCTCATCCTTTTTAAACAAAGAATGGTAACACAATGCCTATAACAGTGTGTGTGCATGCATACACACACACACACACACACACACACACACACACATATATATATATATAATTAAAGCCTATAGTAAAATGAATAAATATTGACACTAAGGGGCATATATAAAGACTGCAAATAGTCTCATGTGAGTTAGGATTTTTGCCTCCAAATGAGGCACATCAGGTTTTGCTGCCAGAGAATTACAAAAAAAAAAAAAAAAAAGCAGCTTGGCTTTACATTGCTTTTTTATTTTGGAATTCCAGAATAATAATTTGCAGGATCAGCCCTCTGGGGAGCAACATGTAGAAGAAAAATAAAAACCCAAACTGGAAAATCCGGATCCTTCTGCCTTAGCTGCTGCTTTTGAGATACTTCGTATTTGTTAGGTATAAACTCTTGTTAAGATTTTCTACTTGAGATACCTTCAGAATTCCCTCCGTCGGGGACCCACAGAGCCTGCAAGCGGCTTTCCGAGGGAGAAATGGGGGTTTATGGAGCTGATGGTGTAAACTGATAGCACCGAGTTCTTGGTGCCAGGACGACTTTGTGCAAAGAAAACTCGTCCGTTTTCCTTCCAGTCAGCAGGTGTTCACAGGTAAACATGGCTTAAAACCAGAGTGGGGGGGACGTCCCAGTGCTCGTGTCTGGATGAGGAGAGTTTCCAAAGGCATTGGGTGTTCACAGCCCTTCAGAGCTCGCACAGCCGCTGAATTCGTTCTCAGAAACTTCTGACATCACAAAGGCACGAGGGGCTACCATAACCTGAACAATGTTCCCTTGCGATCAAATACTGGTCGGGCGCTGAACGCGAGAAGCTCTGAAACAATGCGCACTGCAGCCCTGATCTCTGGTTCTCCGGCTCTTTAGGAGCCTTAGGAGCCGCACGCTGCCCCCCCCCGCTCCCGCCT